TTACTAAGGCTTTATAGAGTGGTATTAGTACCTCCCTTGATCTTGATTGTATCCCTCTGTAAATACAACTTAGCTTTTTTGGCTGCTACTGCACACTGCTGGCACATATTTAGCAGGTTGTCCACTAAGACTCCAAGATCCCTCACAGTTATTGCTATTGAGCCTGGTTTCACCCAGTCTATATGTGTACTTTTGGTTTTTCTTGCCTAAGTGTAGGACTTTACTTTTCTTTACATTGAATTTCATTTTGTTCGATATGGCCCAGTTTTCTAATCTGTCAAGATCCATCTGGATCTTGAGCCTATCTTCTTGGGTGTTAGCTATTCCTGCTAGCTTAGTGTCATCTGCAAATTTGGTAAGTTCCCCTTCTATTCCCTCATCTAAGTACAGATCTCAAATATTATGACCAAGCTGTGCATAAGTTATCTTCATACAGGCATTTCCTGCTTATCCCAGAATTTTAGATGCTTGAATGTACAGATAACATAGGTCAAATTTGCAAATTTAAAAGCTCCTTGGGCCATTTCTGATTTTATTAAATATGTTCCACAAATTAAAACAGGTAGTTCAACTAACTGCAGCATTTTCTTCTGTTGACAATGTCTGTGGGTTTTAGAATCCTCAAAAAATAAATGGCACAACTCAGAATCAATTCCTCCTACTGCAGAGTGGAACATGTAATTGCCCTCAGCGTAAACCGTGATTCTGCTTTGCTAGGAATTCGGTTTGAAGGCAGCTCATTCTCACCAACTTTCCAATCTGAACAAGTGGCAGCAGCATCCACTGAGATAGTCCATTTACCACCTAGAAGCCTCAATATAGCATGGCCCCTTCTTGCCCCTGAGGAGGGGATGAACTGCCCTAAAATAATGTTACGTGCAATTACCAAGATTGATTTTTTTTCTCCTATAGTAATTTGTCAAAGATATACCATAGGTTGACCATGTAGTCAGTAGCAGAGAAAGGGGGGGGGAGTTTATGCTCTTTAGAATTGTTTGAAAATTGGCATAAAGTTTATTAAAAAGAGAGGGATTTTCTCCTATGTTTGCCAGGAGATGCTGCTGGAATGAGAGTCAATTAGAAGAAATGTGGAACAGTGGAGGTGAGGGCTGAGATAGCCAGAAACCGGAGAATCTATAGCCAGAGACAAGAAATGGGAGCCTGTGGCAGCTGAAGCCAAGGAAGGAAATTGCAAAACAGCCAGCAAAATGGAAAACGCAGCTCTGGACTGTAAATAGTGGAGAGCAGATGCCAAGGATTCAGGGATTGGATCACTGGGCAGGTGTTTGTTAAAGAGAAATGCTGTTAGCATCCAAAAATCTGTGCTTAAGAGTATTGGGAGGAGGCAGAAATTAGCAGCTAAACAGAGGAAAGTAGGAAAGTAGTAGAAATTTACATCACAATTAGATTTCTTATTGTATGCATTTACATTTGACTTGTGCTTGTGTACCCACATATAAATATGTATACACACACACACATACAAAAATCACAAATAATTCAGTAAAGATCTTGAACATAGACTTTGTAGTAAGCTTGTATAGAAATAAACATGTACGCCCAGCCATTATAGTGAACTGTCCAAAAGAGGACACAGGAGCTGCTGATGTGACTTGGATGTTTCTCACGCTGTAGGCAGGTTTCCGCCCCAAGTTCAAAACCCAGAAATTATACATTAGCCAGAAAGAAGGTGGGTGCAGTCTGTTGAGTGTTAAAACCACTGTCTGTATGAAAGGCAGAGCACCTAGGACTACCTCAGTAAGATGGCACCCAAAGATGAGCTGCTGAGGGAATACTTCAGGCAGCAGCAGATATAGGAGGAAGCTCAAGCAGACTAAAGTGCCATTGTGAGACAAGATCCTGCATGGGATGTACCACTGACAGATAAATGAGGTAGCTGACATTACATATTCCTATCAGTAGCTGTAAAGGGCTGGACTAAAAGATAGCACTGAGGATCATAACAGCACAAGAACAGGCATTAACACCAGATCCATAGGAGCAGGGATCTACCACATGAAACAGGACCAGAGGTGCAGATTGTACAGAGGGGCCTTAGAGACAGCCCAACATATAGTGGTAGGGTGCAAGATAGAGATAAACAGTACACACTGAGTGGCACAAGCTGGCATTGTGTATATCTGCACATGAGCTAGGCAGGCAGGTATTGGCCAATCAGCCAATTGTGGTAGTAGAAGACAATGTTGATGATTGATGTAGTGGTGTCAAGTGACAGCAACATCAGGAAAAGGAGTCTGAAGAAGGAACTAAATAAGATGTGTGTGTGTGTGCAAAGTAGTTTCAGTGGTGATAGGAGCATTTGTGACTCTTAAGCAGGGAAAATGGTTCCAACTGATCCCAGGACCACATCAAAGTTCTCTGTCAAGAAGAGTGCAGTAGTAGGAACAACTACAATACTGCGCAGAACCAGGGCTGGGATTCAAATTTTGTAACAACTGGTTCTCTGGGCGTGGCTAGGTGGGCGTGGCTGGGTGGGTGTGGCCATGTGACTGGGTGGGTGTGGTTTTTTTTTTGCAGCCCTCCATTTTTGGGCCTTCTGGGCCTCAGGGAAGCCTCCAGGGGGGGGGCTTTTTGCTCCCAGGAAGCTTCCCTCAGGAAGAAAACAAACCTGAGCATGGGGGGGGGCATGCAGCAACCCCCTGCACTCCATTTTGGGGCCTCCTGGGCCTCGGGGAAGGCTCTTGGGTGAAGCAGTAAGACAGCGAGGGGGATCCCAGCATAGCTGATCATAGGAACAGCTGATTGTTGGGAGGGGGAAACCAGAAATACCTTAAGAAGTGACTGAGCGGGGAAGAACGCAGTCAGCGATGTAGGGAATGCGCCAATGTTGCACATGCGTGATAAGGATTGACTGGGTGGGGAGGGGAGGGGCGGGTGGAGAGAGGTGCAGAGGCATGTTTTGTCAGTTCTCCGAACTGCGCAGAATCATAACAACCGGTTCCACAGAACCAGTCCGAACCAGTAGAATTCTACCCCTGTGGAACCTAAAGCTCCCAAAGAGTGAGGAGGACGCATACCGCCCATAAGGATGAGAAGGAAATTTTTATTTACACACATGCACACAGTATATACATACATTCACATGTATACGCACATATTCACTAAAACTGTTCTAAATAGACTTTGTACTAAGCTTGTATAGCAATAAACAGAACTCTTATACAAATGCCAACTGGTTTGTTCTTATCCATTCCCACCCTCTGACAGCCATTACAGTCTATTCCTCCACACAAAATTGCTGTCAGCAAAGATATAACTAGGCACCCAACTGAGTTCAGGCTCAATTTAGTTTGATCTTTTCCTAGCTTTTAGACTGGATCTCCTTTTTTCTGTATCTGTAGATAAAGGGCTTCTCCAGTGTTCTGCATGGAATATGAATTTTTGTAAAAGACAAAAACTTCTCCTGTCTTCTGTACTCTGCCTTGATTCATGGGTGGCTGCTTTTTGCCTTCCTTTCCTTTCCATACTGGAACCTGTTTTTCTTGCCCTGAGCTCCCCCTTTCCATGACATGGATCTGATGGAGATCACCCTCTATCTATCTACAGCAACGTGGTTCTGCAATTTTGGCAACTCCCGAAGATTTTTCATTCTCTCATCAGCTCTTACCTAATGGCAAGGATGTGTCTGGAAGCCATCCAATGAAATCAGAGAAAACAACTTCCAAGACAGGTGCTCAAACAGAGCACAGGATAGGGTGGGCAGGTCTTTTGACTCTCTGAAATGTGGTAGCCATTCTTAGCTATTTGAGACAAAGCTACCGTTTCCACTTCTACTATCTTCATGCCTTCCAATCTTCCACTGATTTTACTTTGCAAAATTGAAATGGGAAGGCAAGCCATTGGGAGAAAATTCTTAACCCTTTCCTCACTCGCCAGTTCCCCACACTGCCTTCAACATTTTTTTTTTCTCCATTTCACTTCTAAAGTTATGTTAACAATAGAATTAACTCAAATCTGCACTGCTGGGGGGGGGGAGGACAAAACAAGTGACTGTGATTGTTGGTAAAGCTGGAGGAAACTGTGCCAATGGTCATTCATGTAGGAGATTGATGTACATGGCATTCTGCTGTTCAGAATCAAGTCCAAAGGAGCAGCCAGGAGACCCACAAATGCTGAAGCAAAAACTATTCTCCTTGCAAACTGCCTCAGCCTCCCTGGTTCCCAACCCTCCTTGTCAATGGGATACAAAGGTTTTGGCTTTGAAACATACTATTTTGAGTAGAAAATAGCTGCCTTGACTTCACTAGAAGCACTTCAATGCTGTTCTGACTCTTTCAGAAGCTTTCTGAGATCAAAACATCATCTTTTTGGAACAGCATTCTAACACTTCTGGGGAGGTGGGAAAAAGCTGTTTTATGCTGAAAATATTTTTTGATTTGAAACATTTTGTCCATTACTTCAAAGTTACCTGGAAGCTGTTTTCTACCTCCGAAATTACCTGTGCCAGTTTCCTTGAGGATTTGCTCAGAGCCCAGCAATTGAAAGCATATGTGCTTATTAGAGAAGTTGGGTATTTTAGTCATATTCACTGACCTTAAGAAATACCTTAAGAAGTGACTGAGCGGGGAAGAATGCAGTCAGCGATGTAGGGAATGCGCCAATGTTGCACATGCGTGATAAGGATTGACTGGGTGGGAAGAGGAGGGGTGGGTGGAGAGAGGTGAGGCCAGGCAGAGGCATGTTTTGTCAGTTCTCCGAACTGCGCAGAATCATAGGGTCACAGTTTTTTAGATAGTGATGCATAAAATACTCGTTTTAAAATGAATCAAACTGTGCTCCTGTGCTTCTTAATCCTCTTGCTCATTCTGATGAGTAGAACCATTTACTGCTGGCTGTGAGACACAAGCATTAAAGCTAAGGCCCATGTTGGGGAGAACCATTGATGAAAGTTTTGAATTTCTATCACAGTGTGAGCACATGCTGCAATGTTAATAAGGGGTGTAGATAAACAACATGTTACCTTTTGATTATGTTCATACCTGTGACAACACTAGGGATTTTTGACAGAAAGCTCTTGACGGTACGAATGGGCACGCCACCGGTTTTGTCATCCTGCATTCTTGTAATGATATCTTCTATCTAGCAAATAAAACACAAATAGTATGTTAGTCTTGCAAATCAAGGGGCTGACTTTTACTAAGGAAAAACCTTAGTAGTCATATATTTAAAGGTTGAAATAACATTAAATTCACTTGGTTTTATTTGTTATCAGTCTTTCTCTGTGTTCACCACCTTATCTTACTTATTTACCTTCTTATAGAATGTCTAGCTTGCCTTAATTTTGAAGGACAGCAAAACGAAGGCAAAAAATTATAGAAAAATCCAAATAAAGCAATTTCCCAAATAATACAACACATTTTTATTAAACAATAATTATTTTGAGCCAAGGGCATGAGAGAATGAAACTGCTTTGATCTCCATAAAAGGGAAACAGCTACTCACCTTGTCTACATCCCATGTGCCTTAAATGGCCTTCTTACAAGGACCAACACAAATGAACAAACTCTGTTCTGACATGTCTTGATTAAACCATGTTATGCTGTGTAGGTTTTTATAGGTAATGAACAGCAGTTTGATTCAGGCCTAGAACTACAGTGGTACATTGGTACTCATTGTTAATTGGCTCCAGGGGGCATTGTGAGTATCAAAAACAATGAGTACCAAATACATTTTCCCCATAAAGAATAATATAGTGAATCACAAGGCTCTAATACCAACAAGTTCTGGCTTGTGCATTGAATATCAACTGATGCATACTGGGACAATTCTTTTATGTCAAAATGCACTGAATATCAATTTGATGAGCTTCAAAGCAGTTGAGTACCAAGCTACCACTGCATCCTATTATTGTTAGATGTTATTATGTATTGGTGAGATTGACCTACCAATATTTTAACCACTGTGTTTTGTGAAAGTGGTAGCTTCTCAGTATCTAAAGGCAGACCTACACATAGCATGTTATAATAGGCCTGATGAGTGGTGACTATGGTTCAACTAACTACAGCACATCATCTCCTTTGACAGAGATACTAGATTAATAAATCAGAAAACATAAAACCATAAACATAACTCAGAGCATGCCCTTCCTGCTAGATTAGATAGGTTGGGCAGAGACGATTAGAGATAGTTGGTCCTATTAATTGTTTTAAAATCATTTAGTCATTCTGATTGGTTTGAACTGTTTCATCTGCTTCAGTTGTGAGCTGAAAGCTACCTAGAGAAACATAGTTGTAGGTATAGAAATTCAATATAGTCACAAAGCAAGACAAATGGAATACAGAGTACTCAAAGACACTCAAGTACTAAATATTCTATATACAAAACCTAATTTGGCACTTTGCTGGGAGTTTCCACAATTAGTTCTCAGTCTCTATGTAATGATTTCAGATCACAGTAATCACATTTTACCACTGCCTTCTCGTAAGCATATAACTGAAACAGTGTCATTGCTCTACTCCAAATGTTTTCTCTTGAGATATGTGGGAGATGATGACTCATTATTTCACAGCTCCACAGTACAGCATGTGCAAGCCTTATTACTTTCAGTAACTGTGGCATAACCATGACTGTGTCTTTTTACAGATAATCATATGGTAGATATATATGATAACACATAATCACGTAGAACATAATTATTGGATATTATTATCAGCAGGAGAGAAAATCTACTTCCAATCTCACAACCAATAAACCCAGTATGAAGGAATGGGGAGGAAGAGGGAAATGTTTGAATAAAATACAGAAACTTCCTTTAGCTATTAGATAGTGACCCATGGGTTTTCTATTTTCACAAATTTATTTCTTGGAATCAGGGAACACAGCCGCTTAGGGGCTGCTGGTTGGGTCGCTGCCAAAAACAAAGCTCACAAGGGCTTCCTAAGCTCCGTTTTTGCTGGCAGAGGGTTGCAGGAGGCCATCACAGTCCATTTTTGCTGACAGAGCACTCGGGCCATCACAGGTGCCCATGACACGAGTGATCTTGAGTTGGCCACACCCACCCGGGCCATGCTCATCCTGCCGTCCCCTGACATCAAACATAACCCTGTTGCGTCCCTCAATGAAATTGAGTTTGACACCCCTACTTCAGACAGTCTCACTAATCTCTTATAACAAGCAAACTTCTTATGCCTAACACCTCTCCTCAGATGAAATATTTTCATCTATCTCACACACGTACTTACACATCATTTGATCCCCGATAGTGAATGATTGGATCAATGGAAAAGTTGAATGTTCAGATTGAAGATGGCTAATGCTACCCAAGTTGGTTCTGTCTGTCTGTTTGTCTGTGTAAGTTCTGAAGGAAGGGAAACCAGACGAACAAGCAAATGTGAATTTGGAAATTCTACTATTTGCCATTATGAAATAAAAATGCTTTCAGGTAGAGGACTATAAAAGGCTTTTGCCATCTGCTCCTTCTTGATTACTATAGACCTCATAAAAGAAGCCCCATACTCCTAATCTCATGACTTCTTGTACACCACAATGGTGGTATGCTACCCATTAGGACTGGTTCGACCAAACCAGTAGTAAAAAAAAAGCCTCCATGTCAACCAAAAAGATACTCCTTTGGTCTTTTTAGCTGCCAGAAAAAGGGAGTGGGGGAAACCAAGGCATTCTTGAAATGCCTAGATAATCACCTTGGCAGCCCAAAGTTGTCAGAGCATAAGAAGGTTATTGGAGAGCACGATGGATGATTCTTGTAGACGGATGTGTCCCATTGGAGAAGTCACATGCAGGGGGTGGGGGAAAAGACCAGGGTCAAGAGAGAAATGTATGATGTGATTTAGTATCGGCTGCACCCAGCCACGCACCAAACACGGCAATTTCTAATAAACCAATTTACTTTTTCTGAGATGCAGCTAGAGACTTTTGATTTGAATGAGGGTCGATTTGTTGGAGCCCTGACACTCCGATGGTCGGCTGAGAGGAGGGGAAAAAAAAGCCTCAGCTGAGAGAAGAAAGAAGTGAAAAGCGCAGAATCGGCACGCCTACCCACCCCTGCGCTTTTCTCTTCTTTATCCTCTCAGCTGATTGGCGCTGCAGATCTCAGCTGGTGTGTGGAAAGCTGCCCAGATGAATTAGGTGTGTGTGCAATCACCAAACCGGTAGTGGAACAGGTAGGACCCCACTGCTGGTACACAACCTTGAGTTTCTAACACCTAATCTAAAGAAGACAGGGATGCATGTTTCATCTTCAACTAAGCACGACTTTTAGTGAAAGAAGAAACTGACCTCAAGTTCAAAGGAATAGGAGAGTTTCTTTTTCAAGAGCATTTGCATTTCTCTTATGCAACTAACAACATTAAATTTTAACGCTGATCTCATATGCATATGCAAACCAGACCAAAACAGCTGAGCCTGAGGACCAACAGCAGCAACTTGGGAGGGGCCATTCCTGATTGCTCAATCCTGGGCCTGGAAGCAGTCAAACAAAGCTTCAAGGATAAGCTGACAGCTCAACTTGTTGCAGATTGATGTATTCCTGAAGACGTTGCTAGAGATTTAGAGTGCATAATATAAGTAGATGAATCTTATTTGGCAGGAACATCTCAACCAAAGAGAAAAAGAACGGAGCCAATGAAAGAAATCCTTTTACATTTATTTACTCCTCTAGCTGTTCTTCAACATAGGAATGTCACTTTCACAGTTTAAAATAAAGGCATAAGAACTAATAAGTTTCATTCTGTTTGTTTGGAAAAGAGAAACGGCCATCTGTTCTGTTAGAGGTGTTAATTTGCTTACTAAAATTATTAACAGTTGCCGGTATGTTGGTCACTGTTTTTATTTTGTTTAAGTTTAAGCAGTAATTGCACTATCAGGCAGTACGTTTGCTACCTGTCAATGCAGGATAATGTTTTAAGTTTTCTTTTAAAGTATACTCTAGTTCCCAGAACTGTATGCCAAATTTGACAGTTTTTATGATACTAACAGATTCTTCTGGCTAGCATGCTGTCTCGATAATTCATAAGAAAAGTGTTGAACCATAGCGAATATTTGGAATTTTAACTGTGTGTTGTGGATGCTGTCACAATTTGACAGGCATCGGAAATTCTAGCCTGCCCTTAATGTGTGCATTAGTGAGTATGCCCAGTTACAAAATATCCATTTATCAGGATCCCAGTGACACTTTTTCAAGCAAATAATGGAGTACAGATACTCATCCCATTCAATTTTCTCAGAATGCCTCTAGGTCTATTTGGGAACCGGAGGCATTCTTGAAAATTAAAATATTGCTAGAGGCGAATGCTGCTTTGCTTTATAACATATAAAATCAAGTGCGAAAGGAAATCTTGAATCACACCCCTGGTGGGATTCAAATATTTTTTACCACCAGTTCGGTGGCCGTGGCTTGGTGGGTGTGCTGTGCACGCGTGCACACACTTTGTGTGTGCACACGCATAGCAAATGTGCACTTTGCACAGACGCAGAGGTATTTGCACATGCACAGAGGCATTCTAACTCACCTCCTACAATCCTGCACTCTCCTTGTCGCTTCAGCAGCTGCCACGAGGCAATTGCTGTGCCGTGCAAAGCAACTGTGCTTCAAATTCAGAGGATAAAAGTGAGTATGGGAGCCCAGGTGGGTGCGTGGGCCTAACAGCAGAGTGGCACAGAGAACTGGTTCAGCCTCCGCTGCTCATTACCGCTACCAGCTTGGCAGAACCGGGCCGAACCGGTAGAATACCACAACTGTACCACACTAGCCATTCCCTTTAGTAATTTTATTCATTGATTTAATTAAAAACACTTATATAGCCACCCATCTTATACCAAACTCTGGATGATTCCCAATTTCAAACAATTAAAATTACATCAATTAAAAATAGCCTAATATCTATTAAAACCATAAACCTTAAAAGGCTGGCACCAAAGTTAAGCTTCCAATGACTCTTGTCAAATCCTCTTATCCATCTCAGTCTATCCCAGGGTAGAGGGTGGGGGAAACCAGATCTTAAGTGGTTTCTGGAAGGCTGGGTGGGTAGAGACCTGCTGGCCTTCAAAGAGAAGGGTCTTCCACAGAGCAGGGGCCGTCACAGAAGAGGCACACTCTCTAACTCTCACCAGATGGCAATGCT